CTATTATATTTTATGGTCGTAGTGGCGTAGCTCTATACCTTTCTTATCTTAATATTATTTCAGATCAATATTGAACATTTGACAGCTACAAACACTTAAGTGACCGATACGATATATGTATGTCTGTGAAACATACCGAGACCACAATACACTACATTACTCCAATATAGATATACTGTTTGGGAAAATATTTATACGGATATAAAAATATTTCAATCCAGAAACTAATCACTAAACAGTTGTAACAACCATACATAAAAAGCGTTACTATACATGCATTTTTTGTCCAAAAAAAAGTTTAAGTTGTTTAAGTGCATAGTAAATAAACGTGTGGTGTACGGCATGCAATCCGGACAAAACCCTCTAAGAGATGGCATGCAATTCGGACAGACCCCTCCAAGAGATGGCATGCAATTCGGACAGACTACTCCAAGAGATGGCACGCAATTCGGACAAACCCCTACAAGAGACGGCATGCAATTTGGACATTTTTTTTTTTTTGGCATGCAATTCGGATGCAGCCGATCAAAATACTCTCGGACGGATGTGATCATTATAAGCGGCGACCACTGTACTACAAACAAAAATATCTGTCCAGCAGACATTTTCATAGTACATTAAAGAATTAGGACCAACTTGAGGATCCTAAGAATCATTTTTGAAGTGTATCGGACCATTAATAAAGGAATTCGTTCAAAACCACGCATTCGTTAGTTCAATATTATAACATATAAAATGTGTTGTTTGAAAATAATTCTATTTTGGCAGAAAAAAGTTGAGCAAGCTATTTAATTATGGTGCATTATTACGTGTGAATCGTCTGTAAATAAATGGCGCGCAGAATTCAAAGTCAGTGTGAGCCTCAAAATTACAACTACAAGTATTACACGTCCTACGACAGTCGAAAGCAAACATAGATCGAATGTCAGACAGTGTGATAGTAGACGTAAGATAATTATTAACACGTCCATGAAGATCAGAGATAAGGGGACCAAACTCGTATTGTGATAATATTGCCCGACAAAAAATGCACGGTTATTCTGCTACCAGGAGCGCCACATTTTAACATCATACCACGGTATAGATGATATTATACTATCGTCGATACCGTGGTCATACTATAGTAGAGTATAATAGGGATTATGTCATAGACCTGTAACCATTACAGGTCTATGGATTATGTACGTTTTTCGAATTAAACATGTTTTATTATTCTTTTTTACTCACAATTTTTATAAATACAAATATTTGATAAGAAATTATTTTTATATTGCAATAATTTGTTGTGAATATGTATTTATAATAACTGAAAATCGTGTGTCAATTAGGGATTTTAAAAACACGATACAACAATACCTATTTGAGCTTTCACATATCAAAATAAATGTAGGTGTAACAATATATATTTTTTTTTTACTGTCAAGCTTTCAAATAGTGTTAAAAACATATCATAAAATAATATATTTCAATGTATTTATAACATCCTATAATTTACTTATAGAGGGTTATAATTAAACCACGGATTTCTATGCAATCGCATATTTTTTTTTATCAAAAATAAATTTTGTTGGCAACTAAATAGTAAATTTAAATAAAGATAAGATTACCTACTAATCTATTAAGACCAAAACTTGTATATCCATAATCTGAATTATTACTCTTGTAGCCTTGTTGTGCTTTGTTACAATATTTAAAATAGGTATTAATATTGTAAAAACTTGTGACTCAAATAATTTAAATTGTATTGAATATTTATTGCATATTTTCCACGTATTTAGATATTTATTGGATATTTTTATAATTTTTTATGCATATTTTATTGCATGATT